CCAGCAGGGGCTATCGGTGGCAGGTCGCGGACCTCCCGACTACGTGTAACGGCCAATTACTCTTGGCCGTGTCTGCTAGGTCCCAGAGAGACACCGTCTCTTCAGCAGTACATGCACAATGTGCTGCGTATTTGGCGGGATTCTTTGGCTGCGGCGGGCAAGGGTCACAAGTGTCCCTCGCCCCTTGCTCTCGGCCCACAAGTTTTTTCCCGTTTCCCAGACAGAGCGTCCTTCACGTCCGGGTGCGCGAGTACTACCGTATTTGGATGATTTCCTAATCATGTTTACTTCCCAGGAGCAAGCACGTTTTTGTGCACGCTGGGTGCGTGAGATGATCGAGTTTTTGGGTTTGTCATGTCATCCCACCAAGTGCCAGTGGGAGCCGTCGCAGTCAGTGTATCACTTAGGCATTACTGTCAATACAGCAGCTGGTGTGTTTGAGGTGCCTAAGCAAAAGCTCGCAAAATTGTGGTGGCTGGCGATCGGGTTGCGGATCACGGCAAAGAAAAATCAGCGTCTGGTGCAGAAGTGCGAGCTGGCTAAGTTTTGTAGTTTTGCACAGAGCATCAAATTGGCCCTTACTCCAGCTCTCTTATTTCTCCGCAATTGTTACGATGATGTGAAGCAACCGGTTGGTTATCCTGGTCGAGTGTGCTTGCCCCGTGGGTCGTTACGTGACTTTGGGTGGTGGGCGGACATCCCTACCCACCAGTGCTCGGCGGCTATTCACCAGGGTCCTGCTGAAGTTGAGCTTTCAGTGGATGCATCGCGCCATTCGTGGGGCGCGGTCCTGCATGATGGTGTGGCGCGCGGTTATTGGTCGGCACCAGAGCTCTATGACACGTCAGTTGGAAGGAGTTGCATGCTGTCCATCCTGCATTAGAGTCCTTTCTTCCGTTCTTTCAGCAGCGTGTTGTCTTAATCAGTGTGGAAAACACGTGCACTCAAGCAGTGCTAGGGTGTCTTTCCTAGTCGTGCCGTACTGGACGGCCCAACCTTGGTGGCAACAGTTTATGGAGTTGGCGGTTGACCTTGTGTTCCTGCCTTCGAATACGGAGCTGTTTGTGCCGGATGAGGGAGGGTCGAGCACCTATCTCCCCCCCTTCCTGGCAGGTCTGGCAGTGCGGGTGCAGTCGTCTTGTGGGTGCTTTGCTTAGCACTCGGTCGGTCAGTGTGGCGCTGCAATTGCGGGGTCGTGTGCCCCCGAGGTGCGCTTTCCTAGCATTTCATGCCCCCCCCCTGGGGGCTCATAATATCTTGTAGGGGCAATGGGACCCCCAATAAGGTAGCGCCTTAGTTGCATATTGTGCAGGGGAGCGGACACGCAGTTACGACGAGCAAATAGGAAGGAATTTGTTGTGCGAAGGTGTGCGCTCGGAAGGCACCGTGCAGGTAGTTGGTTTTTTCATCGTGTTGTGTCACCAGCGATTGGAATTCCCCTGATTTCGGAGCGGTTTCGCTTTGTTTGATATCCGATGGTACCGCCGGTTCCAACACCGCTGGTTCTGGACTAAGTTCGAGTACTTCTTTTGGCGCTGAATGGGTTCGTGTGTCTCCATTTCGCGGCCTTGTGTTTGTTGTTTGTCGTATTAGGTCTGTGTCTTTTCTTTGTCCGTTTTCTCTGCTGTCGGCGACCTGGGTTCGTGGAGCGGTCATTGTTGCAGACCCAGTGTTTCAGTTCAAGCCCCTAGTTTTGGCCGCTTGGTCACCCCTGAGCGGGGACATGTTTTGGCTTCCTATCGACCCTTCCTTCAGTGGGCGTCCGTCAGCAACTGTTGAGTGATCCGTCGCGTCGGTGGCGGTGGGTCAGTCTGTTGGCGCTTTGCGTTTATTTTGTTCCCTCTTTTGCCTGCGTAGAGGTGGCGCGTCCGCCGCCCCTGCTGCTGGGGTGTCGTTCGGAGGTCTTTCGAGGCGTTTGGCTTCAGGAGTTTCGGTGTGCGCGCCTGTCTGGCAGCTCTCACGTCTTTGGCCCTCTTGCGGCTCGGCACGAAGCGCCGTGGTGGTTCAGTATTTCAACCGTTAGAGGGGGTATCTTCTCCTTTGGCATTTGTCTCTGACGCAACAACTTATGCGAGCTTGCGTTAAGTAAGAGGGTTAGTTGGGAGTTGGGAGTAAGTTGGGCGTAAGGCCCAGTGCTGCCCGTGTCCTCAGGGCAGTAATTCATTGCGCGCATTGCACTAATAAGATTATCTTGAATTTGTTGTTTAGCGCGTATGCATTTCTTATACTCACGCTGATCCTCCAATGACGACAGTGTTAGGTAAAGCCTAATGAATTAGCAT